ACTTGCCTTCTTTTCTGACATGAGATAAGGACACTAGGCCTTATAAAATGGAAGGACTTTCATAAGAAGTCTTTAAAAAAAATTAGGCCTCTAATTTAAAATATTGGGGAGCTGAGAGAAAATCATCTTAGAATACTAGAAGCAAATAGCATCCCTTTGAGAGCTTTAGGGGAATGATTTTAGGATAATTAAAAACAGGTTTTAATGTTCCATAAGCAGATTTATGGTACTCTTTAGCCAGAGGCTGTATTAATCAAAACCAAAAAAGTTTTAAAGGATTTAGCTAAAAAAAAAAAATGAATAGAGCCAACAATAATAGTCGTAAAGGTAGCTAAGGATTTTTGTGGCACATCTTTAAACTTTGAAGCGCCCTTCTTTATATCTATCGGTATGAACAGAAAATGAAGACAAACTGGCCAGATCCTGGCTTTACATATAGGGCTCAGTGACAGAGAAGCAGGATGGATAAGCAGGGTTGGGGGGAGAGTTAGATATTATCATCACACCCAGTCCTAAATAAAGATATGCTTTGGGTACTCTCCCAAATGCAAAATTTGTCATCTTCCTTTCTTCATTAAATTTTCTTTTAGAAATCAGATACCACCAAGACAGAAGCATCTCTAGTAGTAGTAATCCATCAGACAATAAATGTCTAGTTTTCTTGAAATAACTATCTTTCCCCTCTTCTGTTACAAAGGTAAATATTCTGTTTCTGCCTCAAACACCATACATTTGAGTCAAACTATAGCAAACCACACATAATTCATTCACATGTCACCTAACGGGAAAAAATGGAAGATCAACCTTGTTGCCAGTGAATCCTATCTTTGCTATGCCAAACTCCAATGGTCATGTTTTGAAGAAACTACTCTGTTCTTTCCTGAAGCAGAGCTTTACTGAATTCACTGGACTCCAAATTTGCCCTACATTATATGCTGGCTCAATCAGGGTTTGATTAACACAATCCCACCCACCAAGTCATAGGCTTTACAGGGAAATCATTAGGACAAGTTGGCTGACTCAGGGTTCCAGGAGGTCAGTATGGATCTAGCAGCTGGAATTTTTCCTTAAGTTAAGAGACTAAACAGCTGGTACAAATGAGAGGATGCCACTGAAGTACCAACATATATGATAGGGCTAAGGTGAGGCAAGAAATATGGCAGCCACCCGATGCTTCTGATCAGGTACTGACATTTTTGACCATGGCCAGCAGAGTTGAGCTACAGAAGGGAAAAGCGTGTATAGTTCCAGAAATCAATGATTATTGTTACTCTGAAACCTACCATCAATGGAAGTGTCATTTCTGGTGGCTCTAAGCCCAGACAACCACCAATGGTAAGTCTTCAAATGGCTACTAGATCTACACTGACTTGCCACTTCTTGAAGGGATGGTTCTGTGAAGATTACTTCACCTCAAAGTTATGTACTCCCCAAAATGGTTTTTTGTCTACTGTCCTGTGATATAAATGCTAAAAACTGTCAAGCCCCAATCTAATACCTATATATTCTGGGCTAAAACTCAACTGTTATATGGCAGATACATTTATCTTGCAAGCTGAGAAAGAATGCATTTTTATACAAGACCACAATCACAATTATCAACAGCCCCCACAATTAAGATACAGGTTTTGTCATTAGACCAAACCAGAATCAGTTTGCAACTTTAACTGCTTACACAAAAACAAAAGGAAAATTGTTATTCCGTAGGATACATCAGGTATGACTCCTTTAATCTTGGCCATCATTCAACTTCATCTTGACCTTTAACTCTTTAAGTGCTTGTCAGAAGGACTTGTCATGAGATGCTTGGTCAAATATGACAGATGGCTTTATCTTTTACTTTGAAAAACAACCTTTTCCCCCTTTTGTAGATAAAGCGAAGCTTTGTCTCCCATTATGGCTTGTCCTTCTTCCAGCTTTTCTTTATTTTTTCTTTTCCCAAACTCTCCCTTCTCTTCAAGCCTGATCCTTAAGAGGTCTTTGGCTTGTCTACTTGCCTTAATTGTTGAACTCTACTCTAAAGGTTCTTTCATGCTTTCTCTTTGGGGTCGCCATAACTGTACAGCTTTACATTCTCTGAGGCAACAACAGAGGACAGTAAATTAGGGGACAATATTAAAGAAGTTTACCTCATTTTTAAACAATCTGTTTTGATCAACTGTTTCAAATTATCAAAAAACAAGAAAACCAACCAACATTTTGCTAAGCACAAGAACATTACTTTTAGTTTGACTTACATTAAAAATGTGGTTGCAACCACGGAGTACACACACCAAAGCTTAAATCACACATTAGAATTATCGATTTGAGTTTCAGCAGCGTGACTGGAAATTAATTTTAATACTATTTTTGATTAGATATCATAGAAACAAATAATAGCAATGAGCAACATATGAGTCAGTTAATTTCCAAAAATCTGATGACACAAAACACTCATTAGATACAGCACAAAAATAAACTACTTTTAGATGTGTTACCTCTTACACAAACTTGAATTTCAAACTTCAACACCCCTCACTACTCAGCCATCTGAAGAAAGGATATTGAACGTAAGCAAATCCTCTTGGACGACGAGTGTAGAAATCAAGTGGCACATACACATCAACTATGGGACCATAACGACCAAATTCCCGGCGCAAGTCTTCAGACCTAGAAGACCACCAAAGATACCTCAAATTTTTTTATGTTCTGTTACTACTAACCATTTCTTCTAACTAAAAAATTCCCTTACATAAACTATGGAATATTTATATGTAAGCTAACTCCTCTTCCATAGAGACCGGGGAAAACTTTGAAGTGTATTATGCTTTCAAAAAAGTGAAGTAGAACACAAAAAAGTGTAGCAGAGACTGGAAACCAGGAGAAAGAATTCTCTGCTATTATTTACCAGCTCTGTGGTAACCTTTGGCACTTAACCTCTCAAAGCCTCAGTTTCCTTTATCGGAGGAATGTAGGGGTTAACATATTCTCCAAATTCCCTTCTAGATCTAAAAATGCACAAAAATAGGATAGGGACTGGACACGAAATTTCCCAGATAAGGAGCACCTTGTCTGCAAACTGCCTATAAAGCTAAAAAAACGTGATTTGACCAGTCCAGGTCTTCCTGGCCCTTAGATGGCCTAACTCAAAACATTCCTTAAAAAAAAAAAAGGAAAATGATGTTATTTTAAAATATGCAAATTCAGTTTACAATAAAAACTGAACATGTTTTATATTCTATTAGTATTAGGGACCAAAGGAATGGAGATAATGATTTTTATAAGCTTCCACTCAGCTCTGAAATATCTTTGATCCTACTTGGTAGGAAAATTAAAAGACTGCTACCTGTAATTTACTAATCAATAAAATTTAGTCCTAATTTTGCTTCTATCCACATCATTAAACAAAAACAAGCCTGGACAATAAAAGACATCTGACATTTTCCTTTCTGCTGCACCAAATAAGCTCAATTTTCAGGAAAACATTTAAACATTTTTATTATTGTTTCTAAAGATTAAAAAAATTCCAGTGGTGGATGATGATCGAAGAAAAGCCGAACAGTACAAAACTGAAAAATTCAAATCCTAAGTACTACGGGGTTCCAAGTATCGATCCCCTCCCCCGAAATTCTGAGCAATCTGCTAATATGCTTTTATGTAAGCCCCACAAGGCTTAATGGGGAAAGGGAAGAATTAAGATTTTCTTTTTCCTCCAAGTCATGACAGTGCCAACATAAACCATCCCCTCCTCCAATCCTTTTGAAGAAAACAAGGGACCCTAACATTTCTAAAGCTATATCACGTTTCAGTAGCCTCAAGATAAGATCTTAACAACAAAAAAAAAAAAGACAGGGTTCTGATTCCATTAATTAGAGTCGTATCTTGCATTTCGAAAGCCTATTTATGATGTAGACCATTTATAATCTTACAACACTCCCGGACAGTTTAAGCTTCTACAATCTCATAAAAAAAAAAATTGAAAGAGGGGTAAAGAGAAAAAAACCCATCAAAACACAATTTAAATTCTTTCCCCCCAAAGCTTGGATGGGGTGTGGGTGATCAGTTGAAAACCAAACCCGGGACTACAACAGGAGGGGTGGCAGTCCCCCCACCTCCGCCTCCCTCCGTTATTTTTACGCAAAGGCGGGCACCGTGGGGGCATTTCTTCCTCTCAGCAGGCCCAGGACACCCCCTCCCCACTCCCAGCCCCACGAACTCGAGGTCGGGGAGGGGGGGGGGCGGACGGCGGGGAAGGTGCCCTCGTGATCAAAGAGGCTGCATTTTCGGTGAGGGCGGGCGTGCGTGTTGGTGGGTGAGTGTGAATGTGTGTTAGTGTGTGCGCGCGCGCGAGAATGGGGGGGGAAGGAGGAGGCCGGGCCTGGGGCCTCGCCTGCGGCCTAGTTCGGGAGCCCGGGCCCGCCCGCCATGTTGCGCCCCAGCCCCCGCCTCTTCCGGGCTCGATTCTCGCCCCTATAGCCTCCGCCGCCGCGGCCCCCGCCCCTACGGCCTCCGCCGCCGCCTCCCGCTGCCTCCCGCGGTGCCCCGGGTTCCGCCACTTACACACACCTGGTGTCGTCGGCCACATTCCTCACGAACAGGGACGTGTTGGGCGGGCGCAGGTAGCGGGACATGGCGATGGCGGTGGCGAGCTGGGCGCGAGGCGCAGAGGGGCGCGAGCTGGCGGTGGCGGCGGCGGCGGAGGCAGCGACGGCGGCGGGATGGGCACTAACGGACGAGAGCAAACCGTCCGCGCGCGGCTGCTGCGAATCCTCTCACACGCACGCACGTACGCACGCGCCCGCTCGCACCCAGCTCGCGACGCCCCGCTACGGCAACCGTCTGTTCTCGCGAGACCGGCCCCTTTTTTTCTCCCCCTTCCCCGCTCCTCCAGCATCTTCGCCTTCGCCGGCTCCTTTTCCTCCCTGAAGCCCTCCCTCCACCCCGCCCTCGCCGCTGCCTCTCCGAGATCAGGGGCTGTCCTTGGGGTCGCGTGCGCGGCTCCTTTTCCCGCGAGAGCAGGCGGGCGGGCACGCGCCGCTCCTCCCCTCCCCCACTCTCCCTGTCCAGGGTCGGGTTCGCTCATTCACTATTCATTCATTCATTGTTCCTTTCTCCGGCCCCTAACCGCTTCTGAATCCCGCCTTTCTCCCCCCCCCCACTGGCAGTCTCGGGCGGTTAGTGACCCGCATCCCGCATCCTTAAGCAACCGTCTGCTCGTAGTTTCCCGCCAAATCCCAGACTTTCCGGGAACAATAGACGGGGGGCGCTGCCTGTGTGCACGTCCTGCGGAAATCCCCAGCTGGACCCCCAAGCACATTAAATTCTGCGTGGCGGGGAGACCTGAAGTGCTTTTCTAATAAGGTTTTGACCTGGCAGTCCAACACCCCTACCCCCCTTCCCTCCTCCCTCCTCGTTTTACGGATTGGAAAACAGCCGAGATCCAAGATTGATGGCCTGAGTGCATTGAAGAAGGAAGCTGCAAAGGCTGGGAATTCAAACCCTCGTCCTCTGGACCCCAATCTGGGGCAACAAAATTCGTAGTCTTTACAAATGTATCCCTGAACTGAATATCTCTGAATGCTGTGGTTTGCTCAGCGTTTGGACCTCCCCGGGCTGGAAACGACTTCCGCAACTTGTTGGTAACTTAGAGTCTGGGAGTTAAGAGACTTGTCCGGGGGTCACCAAGAGAGCTACTAGTCAGGCAGGATCTGTTCTGTATCCGTGGTTAATACATGTTTGTTGAGGTCATTAAGTGTCTCCAGTGCATGCAAGGTGTACGGGCTACAGGAGACCAGAGCTCTAGAGCCTGCTACGAGATGCCCACGATGTAACTTTGAAAAGAAGAGGTAGAGACAGAAGAGAGAGACAGATTGAGATAGAGACACACGCAGAGACGGAGGCACAGAGAGAAGAAGGGAAAGACAGAGACCCTATGACATCTCCCTATGGGCAAAGACAGAAACCCCAGGAGTTAGGACAGGTGGGAGTGGGTAAGGACTGAGTGGGCTAGTTGCACATCTCAAGATAGCTTCCTATTCTAACATTTTTGCTAGGGCCTTCCCCTAAGATCTCCATGATATACTATATATATATATATATAGATAGATATTATTATTTACGTATCTATTTACGTATTGTATCCCTCTTGTGGAATGTAACTTGACTAGTTTCACTTTTATTTTTGTCAGAACTATTTCAAGAGCAGGGTTAAGCTATGAGGCACAGATACTTTCTAACTGGACTTGGAATCTTGATCTCAGCTCCTTGTTTGCAATCAAGCAATCAGCAACGGGCAGGTCACTGTGCTACGTGCTGAGGACACAGACAAAAGCAGAAACAGCCCCAGTCCTTAAGGAGATTAAATAAATATATATTTATAGTTATACACAAAATAATTTGTGTGTATGTATAGAGATTCATAAAGAGTTATATCTATATATCCATATATACTATATATGCTATCTATATCAAGATATCAATCTTTCTCTCCATACTCTATATCTATATCTAAATATCTATATAGATAGATATATATACACACTATTTTGTATATAACTGTAGATGCACATTTATTTCCTGGACAAATTCCTGTAATCTCCTTAAGGGTTGGGGCTGTATTGGCAGCTAGGTGGTGCAGTGGATAGTGTGCCCTGCTTGGAATCAGTAAGACTCATCTTCCCAAGTTCAAATCCAGCCTCAGACACAACCAGCTGTGTGACCCTGGGCAAGTCACTTAACCCTGTTTGCCTCAGTTATTTCATCTGTAAAAAGGAGCTGGAGAAGGTCAAGGCAAACCACCCTAGCATCTTTGCCAAGAAAGCCTCAAATAGGGTCACAAAGAGTCAGACATGACTGAACAACAACAAAAACCATAGCACCTTAGCACCAAGGGCCAGCCGGGCTGGTTGTGGATTGCTTGATTGCAAACTAGGGGCTAAGGTCAGGATTCCCAGTCCAAATAAGAAGTATTTGTGCCTTGTAAGAGCTGAACCCTGCTTCTGTAACAGTTCTGACAAAGGCAAAAATGAAAATAGTTAAGGAACTTACATTCCTCTAGAGGGATATAATATAAATAGATAAGTAAATAATAAGTAATTTGAGAAGAATGAAACTAACAGTGAAGAATGGTCAGCAAAAACTTTCTGCAGGGATAACCTTGTGAATACACAGATTTCTTCAAGCATTCAAATCAAACTCATTTGAATGTTTGATGCAATATATGTATGTGTGTGTGTGTGGGGGGGATCAGACTTGTGATTTCAGCCACTGATACTGAAACTTCTGCTAATGCACATCAGCACCTGCTGTGCAACTTATAGGCTTATTCAAGAGTTGTCTGGGGGCACTTAGAAATAAAGTGATTTGTCCAGGATTACATAACTAGTGTGTATCAGAAGCAAGAGTTGAATCCAGGTCATCCTGGCATTAAAGCAGCTACCATGCCTCTCTGGAGGTGGCATATTGAGTTAAGGGAAGAGCTGATAGAGCTCCTGCAGAGGTGTAATGGGAGATAAGGCAGGAGAGGGAGTCCTTGACAGTTTTGAGCTGGGGAGAAACGTAATAATATCTCTATTTTAGGAAGATTAATTCATCAACTGAAGAATGGATTGGAAAAGGGAAATATTGGAAGCAGAGAGATCTCCAAGTTTTCCTCCGGCCCTCCTTACTCAGACCTTATTAAATTAAAGTTCAACAAATTTGTATTAAAAGTGCTTACTGTCTGCAGAACAGTGTGTTAGTTGCTGGGGAATAAACCTCATTTCTTTGCTGGAGTTTACAAAGTAATTCCTTCACAACAACCCTGAGAGGCAGGTATTGTGTTAGTTTCTTCTTTTTGTAGAAAGGAAAATAAGGCTCTGAGAGGTGAGTGAATGGCTAGGGTCATCCAGCTACGAAGTTTGTCAGGGTCAGTATTGTTTTCTGGAGTGTTCAGTTCTCAGGATAATATTTTAGGAAGGACTTTGACAAGCTGGAGGGAAACTAGGATAGTGAGTGGTTTTGGGAACAATGTCACATAGTCATTTGAGGGAGCTAGAAATGCTTTGCCTGGAAAAGAGAAGATAATACCTGTCTTTAAGTGCTTCCCCTTGAAGATTGTCAAGGGGAAAGGGATTATAATTATTCTGACTTAATTTCTTTCCAGTCACATTGGCTTATTTGCTGTTCCTTATACTTGGTGTTCCATTTCTGGTGTCCATGCTTTTGTACAAGCTACAAGATTCTGAAGATCACCTGACAAGATAATGTACTGCCAACCAGACTGGACCCAGTCTCTAACCTGTGGTTGGTGGGAGCTGAACAAAGGAAGCCAGAGACAGGAGAGTCAGGAATCAAACAGAAGTTTAATTTCAAAGTGAAGAAAATGTTTGCAAGCAAAGATACCTGCTGGAGCTCTGCCCCTAGTGAGGGGTCCATTGTAGTGTGGGGAGATCTCAATGCTTATACTTACGGCTGCACAGTCAGCTGTAGCCCTGACAATGAGGGGTAATAGCAGCCATGTGGCAAGTTTGATTCATAGCAGGACTGCATGACCAGAAACAATCCTGGCATTTTGCTGTGGCTGAGATCATTCAGAGGGTGAGTGCAAAGGATTGTTGTTATGCCAAGCTCAGGGCACAGCCTGCTTGCTGGCTTGCTGGGCCTTAGCTCTGGAAAACAGAGTGCCTCTGAATATCTTGACAACGCTGCTGAGGTTCTCTTTCAAACTGACATGCTAAGCGTTCAAACTCTGCCGCTGAGAGCACCACTTCAGTGGGCTGGCCATGTTGTTCAAATGCCAAACTTATGCTTGCCTAAAAGACTATTTTATGGAAAAATCACACAAGGTAAATGCTCACATGGAGGTCAGAGGAAGCAATGCAAGGACACTCTCAAGGTCTCTCTGAAAAACTTTGCAGTTGATTCTGAGACATGGGAGACACTGGCACAGGATCACTCAGCATGGCGCACCTGCATCAAAGAAGGCGCTATGTTCTATGAGCAAAGCAGAATTTAAGTAGCTCAAAAGAAATGTAAGATGTGAAAATTTGAGAGACCTCTGCACTCCAGATGTTCACATGAACTCTTTGTGCCCGACTTGTGGTAGAGCCTTCCGAGCTTGTCTGATCTGATCAGCCACAGTCGGACACACTGTACTTGGACCCCAATATAGTGATGTCATTTTGGTCCTCTTTGAGAAGGAAGGACAACAATCACCACCCACCAGCTACCCTATGCTCTGGATACGCTCCTTTCCCACTTCTGTTTTTTAGAATCCTTAATTTTATACTGTAAGAAACGACAAAAAGGACAGATTCAGAGAAACCCATGAAGACTTATTTGAGCTAATACATAAGAAGAACATTTTATACAATGATCACAATAATGTAAAGGAAAACAACTTTGAAGGATTTAAGAAAACTGATCAATTCAATGACTAATTACACTTCAGAAGACTCAAAGATGAAGCATATACCTCATCTCTTGGTAGAGAAGTGATGGTTTATAAAACCTATTTTTAAGATACAGCCAATGAGTAGATTTGTTTTCCTTGGCTATACTTATTTACTACAAAGGACAGCTTTGGGAGTGGTAGTGAAGTTGGTGGGCCGTGATCATAATAGTAAAAAGGTAAGAAAAGAAAGAAAAGAATGGCAATGAAACATCTGAAAAATACTGGGTGTAGTGATGCAAGCCTGTGAACCCTGCAACTGTAGAGGCATGAGTTTGGCGTTGCAACAAGCTAAAGCCAATTGGGTATATGTATGGAGGAGCAAGTCGGAAACTGAGCAGGTCAAAGCTGCCCTGCCAATCCGTAGTCACATTGAGCCTCTAAGTGGTCATCCTGATCTATATTGGCCACTACACCCAGATGGCTCTGGAGGTGAAAGTGAGGCTGATGACTTTGCATAGCCCTCCCTCACTTAAATCCAATTTGCTTGCGTGTCATGGCGTCATCTTCTTGATGACATGGCCTTCTTCAAGAATGAAGGACAAATAGGTTGTTGTGCTTCCGGTCTGGATAAGATAGGGAGTCCTAGACTCAAAAAGGCCCAGTCACTTAGTTTTGCAACCTTATTATCAATCCTAAACTCCTCACCTTCATTTACCCCACATATCCAATTAGTTGCTGTTTCATCTATCATATATGCTCCTTTGTCTCTAATGGGTTAGTTATTACCCTTGTGTCTCATCACCTCATCCTTGGACTACTGCAACAGCCTACCAGTTGGCGCCCCTGCCTCTAGACTCTCCCCATTCCAATCTATCCTCCACACAGCTGCCTAACCATGTTACCTCCCCTACTCCATAAACTCTAGTGACTCCCTATTAACCTTTAGGATCAAATATTAATATGTCTTTTTGTCATTTAAAAATCTTCACAACCTGACCCCACCCTACCTTCCCAGATTTCTTATACATTACTCCCCTATGGACCAGCCAAATCTGTCTCCACATATTCCATTTCTGGTCTCCATACTTTTGCACTGGCTGTCCCTCATGCTTAGTATACACTTCCTTATCACCTATGCCTCTTGAATTCGTTGGCTTCCTTCAAGACTCAGCTCAAATATCACCACTACTCTTCCTGATCTATTCAACTACTAGTATCTTCTTCCATCAACCTCTTCCAAAGTTACCTTGTATATGTTTTGTATAGACCTACATATATACATCATCTCTTTTCCTCTTAGATTGTAAACTCCTAGAAGGCATGGATAATTTTGCTTTTGTCTTTGTATCTCTAGCACCTATCAAAGTCCCTGGCACATAGTGGGTGCTTAATAAATGCTTGTTTATTGATAGATTCAAAGATACTTTTGGGGCAGGTAGGTGGCGAAGTGGATGGAGCTCCGACCTTGAAGTCAGGAGAACCTGAGTTCAAATCTGGCCTCAGACACATAACACTTACTAGCTGTGTGACTCTGTGTCACTTAACCCCAATTGCTCAATCAAAAAAAGACACTCAAATTTTCTAAAATGCAATGGTGAAAGTTTAATTTCTGAGCCTCCAAGTAAAATTTTGTAATGAATCTAGCCCCTCCTGGTTACTGAACCTAGAAATATAGTCAACATGATTTTTCTGGGACACTCTGTCTTTTGAAAAGCCCCTAATATGTTGCCTAAAGCTGCTTGGGTAGGTATGCCTACATCGATCAGGGAGATCAGGGAGGGTTCAAATCCTACTTATCTTTTAAAATCCAGCTCAAGGGGCAACTAAGTGGCACAGTGGATGGAGCAGTGGCCCAGAAGTCAGGAGGATCAGAGTTCAAATTTGGCCTCAGACTAAATACTTGATACTTACTAGCTGTGTGACTCTGGGCAAGTCCCTTAACCCCAATTGCCTAAAACAAAACAAAAAATCCAGCTCAAGGCTTCATTCAAGTCAATTCAACAAACATCCTATTTATATGCAATGTATAGAGTGTGGCAGGCTACATAGGGTTCCTTAAGAAATTTATAATTTAAAGGGGGGTGAAAGTGAAGATTATTTTGATACCTCCTACTCAATTTAATTAGCATTTATTCGGTTCATTGTGATTTGATGGATATCAGTGATTGTATTAGTGAATTAAGCAGAAAAGGATTAAGTGAGTTAGTTATGTTAGTTAATGATGTTAGGATAAGAGTTGTGATGATTAAACCACTATGTATTGATGATTATATTAATTATATTTGATTTTTCAGCTAGATTTATTATGTATCAGTTGTTGGTCTATTTTAAGGATTTAATTGCTATACTAACCTATACTTTTCTTTCCCCTCCCCCCCAAATTCAGTGCTTAAAATAAGGTACATTTCTCCAAGGATAGTACTTGAAATCAGGTTCATTTACTTCTCTACCCCTGTGAATCACTACCTCCCACTTCCTAGTGACCTTTGCTTCAAAACCACAACTTCCTTGGACCCTAGTGTCTTATGACCCATGAAAGGCCCTGAGATGTTGCTGACAAAGTCTTATGACCTTTGGAAAGCCCTTGCTGAGATGGCTTGCAGTTGACAGCTTGTAGTTGATGATGGGTAGCTAAGGGCCTGTGAATGGTCTGCTGAAAAAAATGGTTGGGCATTGGCCTTAATCAATCACAGGACTCCCTCTGCTTCTGAAGATTAGCCAATCATGGGAGTTTCCATGCTTCTGAAGGAACCTCCCAAGCACTAGGGGTCCTCCCAGTGACTCTATAAAACCCCTCAGCCCCTGAGCATCGAGGTCCTTGACCTCGAGGAAGGTCTTGGACCCAATGGACTAGGGACCACTGGTCTTCCTAATAAATTGATTGATCATGCTCAGAGATCTGTCTCAGTGACTTTTGTTGTAGATTGGAATTTTGTTGCCCACAATATATTATCTACTAAGTTATGCACAAGTGTGATGGGGTTCTTGTGTGGTGTGTTCTCATGCTGAGAAAATATCCTCTAGTCAAAAAAGTTACTTTATGTCAATCAATTGCAATCTACAGCATTTATTAAGAACTTCTATTAGAAGCAACTAGGGATAGAGATCTGGGCCTGGAGTCAGGAAGACCTGAGTTCATAACTGGTCTCAGATATTAGTTTTGTGACCCTGGGCACTATGCTAGGTACTGAGGATACGAAAACAATAAAAAGTCTCTGTTCCCAAGGAGTCTCCCCTTGTTGAAGGAGACATGTACATATAGAAGTATTTTCAGAATAAATTTAAGGAGATTTTGGGTGGTGGGAGAAGGGAAGAACACAAGCTGCTGGGAGGATCAGGAAAGGCACCAAATAGAAGATGGGAAGGGAAACAGAAGGGAACAAGCATTGACTAAGTGCTTATTATGTTCCGGGTTCTGTGGGAGGGCATTACAAATATTCATCCCAGCACTTGTGAATCCTGAGGGATACCAGGAAGGTAGAGAGATGGAGCCCTCGAGGGCATTCCAGTTGAGAGGATGGTCAATGCAAAGGCAGAGAGATGGGAAATGGAGGATTGTGTATGGAGAACAGCAAGAAGGCTAGTCTGGGCAGATCATAGAGTGTGTAAAGGGAAATGAGATGTCATGAGTCTGGAAAAGTTAGGTTGGGGTCGAGTTGTGAAGGGCTTTAAATGCTGATCACAATTTTTTTGTCTTTTATCCTAGAGGCAAGAGGGAGCCATTGGAGTTTATTGAGTGACACAGTGAGGTGCAGTGCTAAGCAACAGGTTACCAGAAATGGACAAAACACAGGTGGGCCTTGACTTCCTCAACTCGTAGCCTCTGTTGTCCCTTTTCTATTATTGAACATTTGGTCACATGCTGCTTTACATGATTACTGTTTCATATATATATATATATATATATATATATATATATATATACATCTCATCTCCCCCAACCATGCTTTAAACTCCAGGAGAATGTAGCTCCTAGACCAGTGCTACATATTTAGCAGTAGCTCAATAATTTTGTATTGAATAAATGAACTTTGTATTCACAAAGGCCTTTAGTCATGTCTCTGTTCATGATGGAGTGGAAAGAGCCTTGCATTTAGAATCAGCAGTTCTGAACCCAAGGCCTGGGTCTTCTGCTTACTGTCTTTGGGATTATGGGTGGTACAGTGGAAAGAGCCCTGGACTGTAAGTCAGAGAACCTGGGTTCATATCCTACCACTGTCACTTTCTACCAGTGCAATCTTAGGCAAGCTACTTAACCTCTCTGAGGCTCACCTTCCTTCTCTGTGTAATGAGAGATTGGAATAGTTGGTCTCTTGAGGTCCTTTCCTATGCTTCACTTCAGATTGAAGGATCTGAAACTGAGTTTTCTTGTTAAGGGAATGCCCATCCGTTGGGGAATGGCTGAGCAAGTTATAGTATATGAATGTGATGGAATACTATTGTGCTGTAAGAAATGATGAAGGGCATGGTTTTAGAGAAGCCTGGGAAGACTTATATGAACTGACGCAGAGCAAGGTGAGCAGAACCAGAGCAATTTACTAAATAACATCATAAACTTTAATCAACACAATGACCAGCCACAGTTCTAGAAGCCTACTTATAAAACATGGGATCCATTAATGCAGAATGAGATACAGATTTTTTTTTTTGGACATGACCAACTCAAGACCTGGTTTGCTTGACTATGAATATTTGTTAGAAGGATTTTGGTTTTTCTTTTTTTCCCTGTTCGATGGGGGTAGGAGGTGGGAAGGAGAGGAAAAGATTTTTGTTAATAAAAACATTAATTTAATTTAAAAAGGAAGTAGTTTCTTATCTGTAAAAGGAGGAGGATGGCACTTTGACTGTCTTCTTTTAGGATTAATACAAGCAAACTGTTTGGTATTGCTAAAGCTCCTTATCATGGGAGCAATTATCATCAAATGTACCTCAAGATACTTTTGGTCTCATTCAACTATTAACTGTGCTTACACGTAGAGAACCAGGACTGTTACCACGTTAGGAACTCTTTGAGGCATTGGCCCATTGGGGAATGCCTTGGCCTCAGCTGAAAGTCAATTAAATAAATACATTTGATTAAATTTCTTTGAATATCTATCTAGTCTATGAGGACTATCTATAAAGAGCCTTTTAATGTACCAGGCTGTCTTTGAAGATATAAACATAGATATGACACACTCACTACTCTCAAAACATGTCATGTGAGTGAATGGTGAAAAAGACATGTTTTCAAATTGCTATGAAACAAGAGAGAATGAGATGGATATGTGGAAAGGTAGACAATAATGCCTTCCATTTAGAATGTACTTTAAAGTTTGCAGATAATCTATTTTACAGATGAGAAGCCTGAGGCACCAAGAGATCCAGAAATGACTTACCCAGGATCACACAGTCATGCAGTAATGTCTAAGCTAGCTGTCAGAACTCACATTTCTTAATTCTGAGAGTATTGCCTTCTCCCTTATATTAAGGTTCTTTGATGTTTTGACAACTAGGCAAAGTGCTATGAGAAATTTCAGGAGGGGGCCATTTGAGTTTCTCTTGTCTTTTTCCTTCTACTTCAGGTTTAATGTAGTTTAATTATTTCTGGAGCTTTATTGATAGCAGTATGCTGGCCCATCACTTTCTTAAGTTTCAACAATCAACAAAACAATAAATTATGCCCAAATTTGTAGCCTTTGCCAGTTCCTGAGATGTAAATGCTCACATTTACATCAGTGAGCTGCCTCCAATCCACCCCTGGTTATCAGTATAAAATTCCTGCAGATAGTCATGGGAGTATTCGGGGACAGACTAGAATCAAATGCTGGTCTTTTCAGTTTTAACTGCAGCGTTTATGTTCGTGTTCATGCCTTTTTTTTTAAAATTAAAAAAAAACCAAACCCTACTGATCTCTTGTTTTCACATCAGTTTCGATTCCATTTATAGCTTGCTCTCTTCTTCCCAGAGAGATATCATCTGTAACAAGGACTAAAAAAGAAGGGGGGAGGGGAAGCAATTCAGCCAAATTATCCAGCGTGCCAACTGAGCCATATGCGATATATGTACCATATATGTGATGTTCTGCTACTATTGTCCCCAACCTTTGCCAAGATGGAGGGAGGTGTATCTTCTCATCATTTCTTCAGAACTGAGCTTAGTCATTAGAATTACACACTCTTCAGGATTGATGTTGGTTTTTGTTCTGGTGGTAGTTGCTCTTTCTATTTACCTTGTTGCAGTCATTGTGTATATTGTTTTCCTGGTTCTGCTGACTTCACTTTGTATCATTTCTGCATACTTCACATTTCATCATTTCTTACAGCATGGTAATAGTCCGTCACATTCATGTACCACCGTTCCCCAGTCTATGGGAATCTACTTTGTTTCCAATTTCTTGCTGCTACCAAAAAATGCTACCATAAATATTTTGGTATTTATGAGTCCTTTCTCTCTATCTTTGACCTGCTTGGGGTATATGACTAGCAATGTGATCTCTGGGTAAAAGGGCATGGACGTTAATAATTTTCTTAGCATGATTCTAAATGATTCTAAATCTCTTTCCAGGATGTTTGGAGCACCTCACCTCTCTGCCAACAGTGCATCAGTGTGCCCATCTTCCCACAATACTGATTATTTCCATCTTTTGTCATCTCTCTCAATTGACTGGATATGAGGTGGAACCTCAGGGTTGTATTGATCTGCATTTCTCTTATTTATAGTTATTTGGAGCTGTTTTTCATGTGATTGTTAATAATTTTCAATTCTTAGTTTGAGATGGGGAATTCTCACTTTAGAACCCTTCTTTGGAATGTTTGTGGTGACTTGAATCTGGAATTTCTAATTCTGATTTGGGGTTTTGTTGTGGTTGCTGAGGTTATTGCTGTGCTGTGTGGCCTTTAGCAAATCTTACAAACTTTCCACTAAGTCTAGTTCCTAAGTGTAATTATCAGAATTATAGAGAAATACCTCTGCAAAATTCTTGTACAAGCTGCCATTCTTCCCATTCCCCAATCAATCAATCAACAAGGCTTTATTAAATACCTACTGTGTACCAAGGACTGGCTAGTCATTGGGAATACAAAGAAAATGTTCCCTGCATTCAAGGAGCTCACATAGGGGAGAAAACATGTAAATAACCACACGAATGTAAGATATACACACACACACACACACACACACACACACACACATACACATATATATGGAAGGAAAGAAAAAACATTTCTATAGTGCCTACTGTGTGCCAGGCACTGCGCTAAGTACTTTCCAAATTACTATCTCATCTGATTCTCACAACAACTCTGTGAGCTAGGTGATGTTATTATCCCTATTTTATGTTTGAGGAAACTGAGGCAGATGGGGTTTAAGTTACTCACCCAGGGTCCCACAGCTAGTAAATTTCTGAAGCTGGATTTGAGCTTGTCTTCCTGATTCCAAGCTTTATCCTCTGTGCTACCTAGCTGTATATCAAGATGAATGTAACCCCTGTCCCAAAGCCTATTGGTGCGGGACTCTCTTATTGGTGGAGATGAATGCTCTGTTATGCGTGACGGGAAGGGTAGAGTTGGAGTAAGCTATCTCCAGCCCTCATCAGTCTTCTTTGGAACTCTTCAAGCACTGAGTTGCTTCTGGCCCTTTTGTATCTTCTAGTAGGAAGATGGGAGTGGCCAACCCCACTTCAGGTTGCTGAAAGAAAAGACCTTGGGGAGTAGATGACGTGAGAGGAGCTGGCAGTCTCCATCATGTCCCTATCCCCAGCTTGCTACTCCGGAGACAGGAGTTTCCTTTTGGCTGAGATCTAGAACTCTCTTTCTTGGTTATGCTGAGTTGTCTCATTCCCAAAGGGAGAGGTCCTTCACTCTTTATTGTCTGTTATATATTGTCCTATATACACCTTCTCTGATTTATATTTTGCTATGATTTGGATAAATGGGTTTCTTTGCTATATATTATATGTGTTCATTGTGGAACTGGTATTTAGTGGGAAAGAAGTTAAGCCTTAGATACAGAGCTTGGGGTTTCTGCTTCCCTCCAGTAATGAGAAACAGTAATCAGAAGTTAGATTGAAACAGATCATATCTCCTAGACCAGGGGTGGGGAACCTTTGGCTTTAAGGCCACATGTGGCCTTCTAGGTCCTCAAGCATGGCCCTTTGACTGAATCCAAACTTCACAGAACAAATCCTTTTAAGGCTGCAGGTTCCCAACCCTAAAATAATAATATCTAGACTAGACTAATAATATCTAAGTGAATAGATAGATATAATACTAGTCTGGGTACCCCCTCTGTCTTAGGAGGGCAGAATGGCCAAGCTTTTGGCCCCAACCTCCTGCTTTCCCTCCCAGCAGGAATTAAGATATCCCTTGGAGAAGGGTGGGGGGAGAAAAGACTGGGGCTGTCCAGTGTACCTCTCTTCCAGCCATATAACAATATCCCCATGCTACAGACAGGGGGGCAATCCCTTGCCACACATGGGGCCTTGCCACTCACGGGCTTTCTCTACATGCACTATGTATATGTATATTTTATACACATACGTATATACATACATACATATATGTATTTAATTAAAACATAATGTATATATATGTGTATTAGATTAAAGGTTATGTCAGAGGGAAAAGCATTAGCAGCTTGGGGTGGGGAAGCAGGTAGGGAGGTAGGAAGAAACAAAGACTTTCTGCAAGATGCTATTATTTTGGTGGTGACAACTTTGGATTTATTTCTTCCTCTGTAAAATGAAGAGAATTTTACTAAATGATTTCTAGGGCCCCCTCCACTTCTGACTTTGTTCCTACAATACCCCACCTCCATCACCTCCCCTCCCCCCCAACCCTGCTCCAAATGCCATTGTAAGTGAACACAGAAAAACAAGAGTATGTGCTTTAGGTATATGACAGATATGGAATTAACCAGCCAGTGACATGCATTCCCTTGTGGATAGTGGCCTCCTAGGAGACAGAGCAAGGGGGGAGACAAAATGATAATGAAGCACTAACACAGCATGTTGGAGCTGGGAGGGCCCTTAGAACACAGAATGTC